CTGTTAGCCATTTGTATGTCTTCTTCAGAGAAATGTCTGTTCATGTCTTCTGCCCATTTTTTGACTTGATTATTTGTTTTTTGGGTGTTGAGTTTGAGAAGTTCTTTACAGATCTTGGATACCAGCTCTTTATCTGTAGTGTCATTTGCAAATATCTTCTCCCATTCTGTGGGTTGCCTCTTGTTTTGTTGACTGTTTCCTTTGCTGTGCAGAAGCTTTTTATCTTGATGAAATCCCAAAAGTTCATTTTTGCTTTTGTTTCGCTATCTTTTGGAGATGTATCTTGAAAGAAGTTGCTGTAGCCGATGTCAAAGAGGTTATTGCCTATGTTCTCTTCTAGGATTTTTTAAAGTGCTGGAACAAACAATCCTAAAATTTGTATGGAATCAGAAAAGACCCCAAATCACCAAGGAAATGTTGAAAAAGAAAAACAAAGCTGGGGGCATCACGTTGCCCAATTTCAAGCTATATTACAAACCAGTGATCACCAGGACAGCATGGTAGTGGCACAGAAACAGACATATAGACCAATGGAACAGAATAGAGAGCCCAGATATGGACCTTCAACTCTATGGTCAAATAATCTTCAACAAAGCAGGAAAAAATATGTAATGGAAAAAAAGACAGTCTCTTCAATAAATGGTGCTGGGAAAATTGGACAGCCACATGCAGAAGAATGAAACTTGACCATTCTCTAACACCATATACCAAGATAAACTCAAAATGGATGAAAGACCTCAATGTGAGACAGGAACCCATCTTCCATTTCAAGCTCACTCTGGGGTATCTAATTTAGAAAGGTATGGAAAGGTATGCAGGATGACACATTCTTTTAATTTATTCTATCATTCTCCTTCCCTCTCTCTGTCTTTCTCTGTTTCTCTCCCTCCTAACCTCTTTCCCTCCCCTTCTCATGCAAGAATAATTTAATTCACAGAAGGTAAATTCACATAGGATGCTCTATAGCATGATGTAGTATTTCTTAAACTGCAATTATTCATGGGCCACCATCCCAGTTTTAGCCAAAGCCACTTTCCACCCACATTATTATTTACTCCATTTTAAAAACCAACTCTTTTGTAGATCTTTTCCCTCTGCCTTCTCCATCTGACAGCTCACAATAAGGAGTGAAGATTAATCAGTAGTTGGAAATTTTCTGGAGAAAATACAGCAGGTATTTCACTCTCTCCAGAAAACCAGGTCTTTCTCTTTGGGATATTTTTCATGCACTCTTTCATTAATGTATTTGTTCACTCTTTCATCAAATATTTATTGGGCATCTAGTGTGTGCCAGACAGTGTTCTAAGCATGCAATACAACAGTGAAGAAAACAGGCCAACTTCTTGCCGTCAGAGAGCTATTATAGTGGGGGAGATGGACAACAAATAAATTAAGAAAAATTGCATAGTGTACATGCTGTACAGAAATTTAAATGAGATGGTGGAATAAAGCAGGGGTGGCAAACTGTGGCCTGAGAATCATATCCAGCCTACCACCTGTTTTTGTAATATAAAGTTTTATTGGTGCACAGTCATGCCCCTTCATTTACAAATCATCTAGGGCTGCTCTCCCACTACAATGTCAGAATTGAGTAGTTATAACAAAGATCATCTGGCCCAACATGCACCCCAATGTTCCTAGCAGCAATGTCCACAATAGCCAAACTGTGGAAAAGGCTGAGATGCCCTTCAACAGATGAATGAATAAAGAAGATGTGGTCCATATATACAATGGAATATTACTCAGCCATCAGAAAGGATGAATACCCAATTTTTGCATCAACATGGATGGGATTGGAGGAGATTATGTTAAGTGAAATAAGCCAAGCAGAGAAAGTCAATTATCATATGGTTTCACTTATTTGTGGAACATAAGGAATAGCATGGAAGACATTAGGAGAAGGAAGGGGAAAATGAAGGGGGGGCGGATCAGAGAGGGAGACGAACCATGAGACACTATGGACTCTAAGAAACAAACTGAGGGTTTTAGAGGGGAGGAGGGTGGGGAGATGGATTAGCCCAGTGATAGGTATTAAGGAGGGCACGTATTGCATGGAGCACTGGGTGTTATACGCAAACAATGAATTATGGAACACTACATCAGAAACTAATGATGTACTGTATGGTGACTAACATAAAGAAAAAAAAAAAAGATCACCTGGCCCAAGCAAGGCAAGGGAAACAAAAGCAAGAATAAACTATAAACTATTGGGATTTCTTCAAAATAAAAAGCTTCTGCACAGCAAAGCAAACAATCAACAAAACTAAAAGGCAAACTTTGGAATGGGAGAAGATATTTGCAAATGACATATCTGATAAAGGGTTAGTTTTATAAAGAACTTATAAAACACAACATCCAGAAAACAAATAATCCAGTTGAAAAATGGGCAGTAGACATGAATAGACATTTTTCCAAAGAAGATATACAGATGACTAACAGACACATGAAAAGATATTCAACATCACTCATCATCAGGGAAATACAAATCAAAACCATGATGAGATATCACCTCACACCTGTCAGAATGGCTAAAATTAACAACACAGGAAACAACAGATGTTGGTAAGGATGCGGAGAAAGAGGAACCCTCTTACACTTTTGGTGGGAATGCAAACTGGTGCAGCCACTGTGGAAAACAGTATGGAGCTTCCTCAAAAAGTTAAAAAATGAACTACCCTATGATCCAGCAATTGCACTACTATGTATTTACCCAAAGGATATAAAAATACTGTTTCGAAGGGATACAAACATAGCAGCATTATCAACATTAGTCAAACTATGGAAAGAGCCCAAATGCCCATCAACTGATGAATGGATAAAGATGTAAGATGTGGGATGGATTATATATTTATAATGGAATATTACTTAGCCATAAAAAAGAATGAAATCTTACCTTTTGCAATGACATGGATGGAGCTAGAGTGTATTATGCTAAATGAAATAAGTCTGTCAGGGAAAGACAAATACCATATGATTTCACTCACATGTGGAATTTAAGAAACAAAACAGATGAACATAGGGGGAAAAAGAAAAAAGAAGGGCAAACATAAAACCGACTCTTAACTATAGAGAACAAACTGAGGGTTCCTGGAGGGAAGGTGGGTGGAGGGATGGGTTAAATGGGTGGTGGGTATTAAGGAGGGCACTTGTGATGAGCACTAGGTGTTGTATGTAAGTGATGAACCACTAACATCTATACCTGAAACTAATATTACTGTATGTTAACTAACTGGAATCTAAATAAGAACTTGAGAAAAAAATTACTATCTGGTCCTTTCACAGAAAAAGTTTGCCAACTCATAGGACAGAGAAAGGCTAAGGACTATTTTAAATAGAGCGATCATAGAACACTTCTCAAGGGAAATAGTGTTCAAGACAATCATCTGCCATTTTCAAGTGCTGCCTTTTCAGACCATCACATGGACACAGAGCATGCATCAGCCTGTTCCTTTTAAGGAAGCATGCCAAGGGATCCTTGTTTGAACCTCAGCATGTCACAAAGTACCCACTAACTGTGTCCCCCAAATTGCCTGGTTAGTGGAACCCATGTAGAGTCCCCCATGCCTTGAAGGCTTTTTAAGTTGGCCCAGTCACCTAGAAATGAGACAACAATGCCTAGGATTTGGAAGTCAGGAGAATCCATCTCAAACACAGTACCTCCTATGGTTCCTTTGAAAGCACCAGTACAGTCGATATCCATAGTGTTATTTCCAGCTTCCAGAACAGTCTTCTCACTTGTCTCATTGCACCTCTTGATTTCATAGACTGGAAACATTAAGAAAGTGAGTCCTGCTTTGCTCGCTTCTCATGCATAAGAAATTTGTTGAAGAACTCTCTTCTTTGAAAGGCCCCCTACTGGTGATTTCCTTTTCTGTATGCAAGGTAGACCAGATGGCATTCCCTTCCACATCTCTTGCTGATGGGGATGAGATGGTCAAAATGGTCTAAGCAGCATCCACTGGCCACAGCAACCCAGGAGAAGAGAGGGGATGGCCATGTTTCCTGGAGCTGCAACCAGGGTGGGCAAGCTCAGCCTTTACATATAATATTTAAAGATAAAAAGATTTTAAATAATGTATACTGGAGTAACTGGTGAGGGGGTAACTAAGTTTTTAAGCAAGAGAAGCTAAGCATTTAAAAGTTTTCCAAGGACAGTCACCTGGGAGCAGGTCTGCATTTGGGAAGAACCCCTTGAATGAATTCTCCATGTCACATAAACATATAAACACAAGGTCTGACAAAAGATCACCCTCATAAAATGTTTTGGTCATAAGGAAAGTGCTCTATGTTTCTTACCTATACCAAGTGTAGAATTATCATGCTTTCCTGGAGAAGCTAAATCTTCAGTCCATATGATCACTTCCATTTTTTGAAATATTTGGGTAGCCATTTTTGCAATGTGCTCTTTGCTTCCGTTGTTCCTCAGAATTTCCTTTCAAAGAAATAAAGCTAATTAGGTAGGCTCTTCCTGAAACTTGAGAAAGCAGGAATATACTTGTGTGTGGTTGGGTGAGCCCTGAAGGCAATAACATTGATTAAGGTGTAGATTCTGCAATCTCAACCTGATTATGTATCTTCTCATTGACCACACACAGCCTTGTGAAAGGTGTATCATTCACTCCATTGTATTTATGAGAACATGAGGACCTAAAGGATGACATGTCTGGAACCCATGAAGAGTGCCTTACAGAGAAAGACAGGGGATCGGAAGTGGTGACAGAGGTTGAGTGAAGCTCTAGATTTTTGATGCCAATCTTTGAACAACAGCTGAGGCACTAAAAACCTTGCCCACGGTTTCTCAGTGTCTATTGACATTTGAGATCAGATAATGTGGGAGGCTGTCCTTGGGCATAACTAAATGTTTAGCAGCATCCTTGTTCTCTACCCCCTAGATGCCAGTAGCACCCTAGTTGTGACAACCAAAAAATGTCCCCAGGCATTGCCAGATGTCCCCTGGGAGAATGGACAAATCATTCCTGCATGAGAGCTGGTGTGTCCTAAAAGGCAGAGGGAGCCATGGTACTTATTTGAGCAGGGGAATAACATAGCAAGACTGGCCAGCTGTCTCCCAGACCTAGGCTTCACTTCACTCACCTGAATGTTCCCTGAGACTGGTGTCTCCTCACTGGCACCCTCTGGGAAAGAAAAGTAGCCATTGAGTGGAATGTGGGAGGTAACACGCCTGGCCCACATCCCTTTCCAATCACTATTGAGTTGAGTCTTTCTCTGATGCTTCCCATCCTTGCCTAAGTTCCCTCCAAGAAGTCCAAAATGTCTTCTACAGTAGAAATTTAAAAGGGGATTAGGGTGGGGCCTCCAGTTCAATAATTAAGTCAATAGTATTTATTGCACACCTACTAAAAGCCAGGAACAATACTAAACCTTATGGAAGTAAATTGACAAAGAAACAAAGGGTCTTCCCTTGTGGAGTTTGCAGTCTGGTGGGAGAGTCACTAGGTAAATAATGACAAATAAATAATTAAGTGATTACAAGGGTCCCACCTGTTTTTAATATATAGGACAAGATACCTTGGGAGCACACAGAGAAATCCTAGAATATGGAGTGTGCAGAGGAGGCTTCCTGAAGGAGTGGGTGTTAACTGGGTTAATAATACAGAAGCAGTAATAATACCTGCAATTGTCTACACAACATGGCATATAAAGCGCCTTAATACACACTATCTCATGTAAAGAAAGACAGAAGGTTCTAGAACAGGGTTATGTAGCTTAATAGCTAATATTTATTGAGCCTTCCTAGGTGGCTAGCCCTGCACTGAATATTTTACACACCTTAGTAATCAAAATGGGTAGGTGAGGTGTATTAGATTCTTAAGGCTGCTGTAACAAAGTGCCAAAAACTGGGTGGCTTTAAAACAATAGAAATTTATTTTCTCATGGTTCTGAAGGCTAAAAGTCCAAAATCAAGGTTATTGGTAGGACCACACTCCCTCTGAAGGCTCTAAGGAAGATCTTTCTTTGCTTCTCCTAGTTTCTGGTGGTTGCAAGCAATCTTTGGTGTCCCTTGGCTGGTGGCAGCAGAACCCCAGCTCTGTGTCTGTCCTTGCATGTCCCTCTGTATGTGTGTGTGTCTCTACACCCAATTCCCCTCTTCTTATAAGGACACCAGTCATATTGGATTGAGGGCCCACCCTCATCTGGTATGACCACCTCTTGATTTTATTAAATCTGCAAAGACTTTCTTTCCAAATAAGATCATATTCCATCATATTCCCGGGTTCCAGATATACGTGAATTTGGGGAGATTCTATTCTACCCAGTACATGAAGTAAGTAGGTTTCTGAAGTGACTCTCAGTGATCCTTGCCACTTGGAACCCTCCTCCCCCTGACCAGACCCAGTGACTCACTGCTAATGAATAGAACACAGCAAAAGTGATAGGGTGTCACTGCTGAGACTCAGTTATAAAAGACTACAACTTCTATTTTGTTCACACTCTCTTTCTGGATATTCTCATGTGCTCACTACAACAAAGCAAGCTGGAGAGGCTGACATATCTAAGAACTGAGGGCAGCCTCTCACCAACCACCAGAAAGGAACTGAGGCCTTCAGTCCAGTAGCTTTGAAAGAACTGAATCCTTCCAGCAACCACATGAGTGAGCTTGGAGGCAGATCTGCCCCTAGATGAGCCTTCAGATGAGACTGCATCCCCACCCAACACTTTGACTGTAGCTGTGAGAAACCCTGGAGCGGAGAATGTAGGGAAATTACACATAGATTCCTGGCCTGCAGAGACTGTGAGACAATATTGTTGTTTTAAGCCACTACCATTGGGGTAATTTGTTATTCAGCAATACATAACTCATACGGTAGATGCTATTATTGTTCCCACTTACAGGTGAGGCATATAGAAGTTAGGTCATTATCCACCCAAAAGTCAGCTGGTAAGTGGTAGAGCCAGAAGTTAAGTCCAAACTATTGAACTCAAAACATGGAATTATACTAGGAATGAGCAAATAAGTAAACATGCTGTGGTCATTGAGAACCAGTTTCTCAATGCCACAGAAGCAGCCACAAATAAGAAAAGAGGGAAGGCTAGAAAGAGCCCTGGTGTTGGATGGGAATCTAAGGTATCAGTGTGAACTCATAGGATTTAGTATATAGACAGATAAATAGATGTAGAAATTGAATTTAAAGTGAGAGAGGGAGAAACAAGTAGGGAAGTCCAGCAGAAAATCTGAGATGTCATTTTGGAAGACCAGGAAAGAGACCCAGACAGGAGACATACTCTTGCAAGGCAGCCACATAAGGATGGTGATTGGTGCTGGAGGCTTGAGTGGTGCCTTCTGGGAAAAGATTACCAGGGACAATAGTAGGATGCAGGACCAGGGCGAGGACAGATTTCTACTCTTTTACCCTGGCCTGAAATCAATGAAGCTCTCAAAGTCTCCCCCCACCACTCCTTCTTCATTGTCGAGAGTATTTGGAAATCCTTACCATAACATGCTTTATTATTTAATTTAATGAACCTAGCCAGCCAGTTGAAGATATGATTTGAGAAACAGCTGCAGTAGTAACTTCCAATTTCATTTCTGCAGTATGCTTCCTTCTTGCACTTTGCCAGCCCAACCCTACACTCATCAATATCTGCAAATCAAGAGAAAACATCATGTTTCATTCTCATCAAACTATACCATCTTCCCTTCCACAGGGAGTCTCGAGTACCCACCATCATTCATAAGCATCTGTTCTTGGATAAGATGACTCAATATCATAAAGGTGATAGTTCTCCTCCAGTGAATTTATAAATCCAATACAATCCTAGTGAAAAACATCTAGCCGGACTTTAAGGAGTAAGACAGTGGATACAAGCATGTAAGAATAGCCATAAAAACTCTGCAGTGGGGACTCATATTATTAGACACTGAAACACACTTTAAAGCCTCAATAAAATGAATGCATGAATTGACAAAGAGTCTAGTGAAATAGACTCAAAGTCCAGAAATAGACCCAAGTACATATGGAGCTTTAGAGTATGATGGTGGTATGTCAAACCACTGAAGGAAGGACCAGTGGTTCTTGCAATACCTGGATCACACAGTTTAATCAATTTAAAATACACAGCAAGTAGCAAGGAAAGAGATAGGGCAGGTGCATATACCCTTAGGAAATGGTACAAGTGAGGCAAAAGGCTCCCACCATCTAAGTCCTGGCATGTGCAATATTCATGTGTCTGCATCTATCTGCCACATCTCTCTGGTGGACCAGAGTTGAGGTTCAAGCAAAGGGACCCACAGACAGAAGTTACCCTGAGCCAATGACTCACACTTATTCTCTCTGTTGGAAGGAGTCAGGACAAGTACATTTAACCAATAGTTGCAACTTGCCTATTAGTCTATGAGTTATATCGGGCTGTGGGTGCATGTTTTGGGTAGAGGGTTATATGGGCCAGAATAGTTATCATCAATGAGTGACTGAATTAAGACCTCATAAATCTTAAGTGCTTTGTATGTTTTGTTTATATTGTGTATCTTGGGCATTAAATTCCTCTTATTTAATTTGCCATGAGCATTTAGCACCTATGTGCCTTGTGTATATTTATTGCTTCATGAATATTACTGTTGGTCTCTCCATTCTATTCTATGCTTAACACACATATGCTCTAACCACCAACTACTTACCTATTTTAACACATCTTATGCATTTCATATATCCCATTGGATTTTCTTTCTTCTGCAGCAAAACCAAGTAGTCTCAAACAGTATAACAAATGCACATTACACTTCTGCACACTTCCCTTCTCTAGAATGGAGTTCCCCTTTATCCTGGTTCAGGATGGATTTTTTAATAAGATAAAATGAGACCCAGATATCACACACTTTTTAAGAATAAACTCTACACTAATGAATCATTGAACACTACATCAAAAATCAATGATGTACTGTGTTGACTAATTGAACATAATAATAATAAAAAAAGAATAAACTCTACATATATCAGAGATCTAAATGTAAAAATGGAGCCATACAGGTACTAGAATTAAACAGAGGTGAATTCTTTGATCTCAGTGCAGGGAAAAACATTTTATTTTTATTTTTTATTTTTTAGAGAGCATGGGAGGGGAGGGGCCAATGGAGAGGGAGAAAGAATCCCAAGCTGGCTCCATGCCCCAGCACAGAGCCCAGGGTGGGTCTCAATCCCATGACCCCGAGATCACAACCTGAGCCCAAATCAAAAGTCAGACCCTCTACCGATAAGCCACCAAGATGCCCCAGGGAAAACATTTAATGATGACTTAAGCACCTTGATAAATTTACCTAAATAAAAAAATTTTTAATTAGTTGCATGGCTAAAAAAAAATATACAAGCAAAGTCTAAAGAAAACTGACAGGGAGAAAATATTCTCAATGTATACTACTAACAAGGGACAAAAATTTCTAACATATAAAGAAATCAAAAATTGGGAGGAAAAGAAACATATACTCAATAAAAAAATAAGGAAAAGACATGAACAGACAATTCAGAAAGAAGATATAAAAATGATCCTCTAATATAAAATGTTCAAAATTGTTCATAATTAGGGATGCCTAGCTGGCTCAGTCAGAGGAACATGCAACTCTTGATCAGGGTCATGAGTTCAAGCCCCATGTTGGGTGAACAGATTACCTAAAAAAAAATTGTTCATAATTAGAGAAAATCATGAAAAATCTACTGAAATACCATTTCTCACCTAGCAGACTGGCGATGCGTTCTGACAACTGTTCTGTAGGCAAGACTGTGGAGAGACAGGTGCTTTCATGCATTGCTGGTGAGAATGCCAATTAGTACAACTTTTCTGGAATTAAATTTGGGATAGCTAATCAAGCTACATATGGATTTACCTTTTAACTCAGGCACCTCACCTCCAGGACTCTAAAGACACATCTCCCACAAATACTGGAGAAAGCCTAAGGATTCAAGTAAAATGTCCCTATGCAGAAGAAGTTTGAATAAACTATGATTCACCCACACAGGTACATAAAAGAATGGGGGAAGATCTCTACATGATTCGGAATAATTTCTAGGATATGCTGTTAAGTGAAAAAAGCAAAGTGCAAAAGGGCATCTCTGGTGTCCTATCAAAGGTGTCTAAGTCAGAGAAGACCAGAAAATACTGAGGATCCATCACAGATTGCCAGCTCAGGAGCATGGCAACTAAATGGGATCCTGAAATAGTTCTTGAAGCAGAAAACAAAAAGGGGCATTGGGGAAAAAAACTGGTGGAACTGGAAAAAAAGTCTGTTGTTTTTTAACATCCTTATATCAATATTAATTCCCTAGTTTTCATCATTGTAGTATAGCCATGTTTTTGGTGAACCTTAGGGGAATTGGGTGAAGGGGTAATAGAGAATTTCCTAAACTCTTTTAAAAAGTTTTAAAAACGGATACATCCAATGTTGTATGATTCCACTTATAGGAGGTCCCTAAAGGAGTCAAATTAACAGAGACAGAGGGTAGATGGTGGGAGGCGGGGGCCAGGGGAGGGAGAATGGGGAGTTGATGATTAGTGGGGACAGAGTTTCAGTTTTGCAAGATAAAAAAAGTCCTGGAGATGGATGGTGGGGATGTTTGCACAGCACTGTGAATGGACTTAATGCCAGTGAACTATACGCTTAAAAATAGTTATGATGATAAATTTTGTTGTGTATATTTTACCACAACTGAAAAAAAATAGTCCAAGTAAATGAATAATCCAATATTGTCTGATTCCACTCACAGGAGGTCCCTAGAGGAATCATATCCACAGACACAGCGAGTAGATGGGGGAGCAAGAGGTGGGGCAGGGGGTGGGCAGGCAGTGCTTCATGGGGACAGAGTCTCAGTTTGGGGAAATTTCTGGAGACAGATGGTGGGGATGACTGCAAAACAGTGTGAGTGTGCTTGCTGTCACTGGGCTGTACACAAAAATGGTTAAATTGGTAAATTTTACATTATCTATATTTTGCCACGATAAAATAAAATAAATCCTAAGTAGTTTACCATGGTCCAATTTGCCTTCTGAATTTACAAAACTCCACCAATTAGGTATTCAGGAGTGTTTTTTCTTTTTGGCAGTCAAATGGATCTTTAGAATTTGTGGAAATGAGAAAGGATTTTGGCTGGAGCAGAAGGGAGTAGTGAAAAGGGAAACTGGATCTGAGTTGGAATACTCAGATCATGGAAGATATTGAGTGTCAAGATAGTAAGTTATTCAGTTGAGGCCAAAACATAGAAGATATTGAGTGTCAAGATCTGAGTTGGGGCCAGATCATGGAAGACATTGAGTGTCAAGATCTGAGTTGGGCCTGATCATGGAAGATGTTTGAGTGTCAAGATAGTGAGTTATTCGTTTGTTCTCTTGGACAACACTTTTTTATTGGGCCTCTGTTACGTGACATATTCTCTGTCCTTGGCTTATAGTAATGAACAAAACAGACATGGTCCCCCCTCTTGTGGGATTCTCAGACAGACAAACAAAAACTGATGCTTGAAACTCCAAGGGTCCCGGGAACTCTACCTTCCTCTAAAGAAAGACACTGTTGGTGGGAATGCAAGTTGGCACAGCCACTTTGGAAAACAGTATAGTGGTTCCTCAAAAAGCTAAAAATAGAGCTACCCTATGACCCAGCAGTTGCACTCCTGGGTATTTACCCCAAAGATACAGATGTAGTGAAAAGAAAGGGCACATGCACCCCAATGTTCACAGCAGCAATGTCCACAATAGCCAAACTATGGAAAGAGCCGAGATGCCCTTTCAACAGACGAATGGATAACGAAGATGTGGTCCATATATACGATGGAATATTACTCAGCCATCAGAAAGGATGAATACCCAATTTTACACCAACATGGATGGGACTGGAGGAGATTATGCTAAGTGAAATAAGTCAAGCAGAAAAAGACAATTATCATATGGTTTCACTTATATGTGGAACATAGGGAATAGCAGGAAGGACATTAGGAGAAGGAAGGGGAAAATGAAAGGGGGGGAATCAGAGGGGGCGACGAACCATGAGAGACTATGGACTCTGAGAAACAAACTGAGGGTTTTAGAGGGGACGGGGGTGGAGGGATGGGTTAACCCAGTGATGGGTGTTAAGGAGGGCACGTACTGCATGGAGCACTGGGTGTTATATGCAAACAATGAATCGTGGATCACCACATCAAAAACTAATGTATATTGTATGGTGACTAACATAACATAATAAAAAAATAAATAAATAAATAATAAAAAAATAAAGAAAGACATCAAACCAGCTTCAGAAAGAGCAAGGGGGACATAAGGGATAGGAACTCCTCTAAGGGCACTGAGACAGCTCTGACATGTTCTATCTTGTAGTACGACTGCATCTTTGCCTCACTAGCACCCCACACATGCTTCCACCCCATTCCAGATTTCAGGATGTCGTGGATTGAGTCTCTACCTTCACATTTCTCGTAGGGCTTGATGTACCTCTTCCCAGACGGAGACTGAAATCCATCTTTACAAGCACAGTGGGTGCTGTTGGAGCAGTTGGAATTTTCAGGGCATATGGGACAGAAAGCTGCAGGGAACACAGGATCCTTTCATTAATTTACTCATTCATTCAAGAAGGATTCCTTGAGCACTTATGATGTCCCAGATGCTGTAGTCAGAAGAATGTCCTTTTGGGAATAGCTCTGTTGTCCTCCACCGTGCACCCCTCCCACGCCTGAACACAGATGCTTGCGTGCCTCCCCTACCCACATCCAGGCTCTGCCACCAACACCACTTCCGCTCAACAGTAGAACTTCTGTCAGCATCTGTGTGTCTTTCCCTGAGGGATTTCTCTGGCCACCAGAGTCCTCTGTGCTCACCACACGGTGGGTTAGCAATGGAGCAGTTCCCTCAATCAATGACTGACATGAGTCAGCATGTTAAAAAAAAAAAAAAAAAAAGGCTTTTTTATCACCGGGTTGGGGGGGGGGAAGTAAAACAAGTATTGGCAAGATGTGGAGGAACTGTAACCCTATGCACTGCTGGTAAGGCATGTAAAATGGTGCAGCTGTTGTGGAAAACAGTTTGGCAAGTCTTAACAATTTTTTTATTAGAAATACCATATACCACTTTTAAGTATATAGCCCAAAGAATTGAAAGCAGTGTTTTGAAGAGATATTTGCACACCCATGTTCATAACAGCATTATTCACAGTAGTCAAAAGGTGGAAACACCCCAAGTGTCCCGCGACAGATGAATAAACACAATGTGGTCCATCCATACAATGGAATATTAGTTAGCTTTAAGAAAGAAGGAAATTCCAACACGTGCTACCACATGGGTGAACTCTGAAGACATTAGATATGTAAATAAAGCAGTCACAAAAGGACAACTACTGTTTGGTACCAATTACAGGAGGCCGCTAGAGGAGTCCAAATTCCTAAAGACTTTCCAGACAGAAAGTCTTTAGGTGGATCCTGGGGCTAGTGGGAGGGGAAATGGGGAATTGCTGTTTCATGGGGGGAATGCCAGTCTGGCAAGAGGAAAAATGTTCTGGAGGTGGATGGTGGGGATGGGTATACAACAACGTGAATGTGCTTCAAGCCACAGCTCTGTGCACTTAGAAATGATTACAATGGTGAATTTTATGTTATGTATATTTTACCACAAGTTTAAAAGATAAATAAGATAACAGCTTCCTTGCCCATGAAGGGGAATCATGCTGGAATGCTGGGGTACATGCTCCTTACTACGCTCCCCTCTCCCCTCATGTAATCTGCTTGACAATGGACCTTTACATCTCCTCACCTTCCTGGTAATTTCCCACTCCCAGCTGGTACTTCCCAGGATCACCTCCCCGACAAATGACTTGCTCTCAGGTCCTTTTCTTAGGGTATGCTTCTGGGAGGGGGGGACCCAACCCAAGACATGGGGTAAAAATAAAAGTATCTCCTGCCATGACTTAGATACAGTCTCTGGGAAAGAAAGGGCAGAGTCTACCATCCACCAACTGTGCAACCTTGAGCCAGCTACTTCCCTTGAGGGCTGTTCAAGTGAGGATACTCTCCAGACCTTCTTTGCAGGAATGTCAGGACTGAATGGGATGCGTGTAGAATTTGCTAAGCATGGAGCCTGGTGCAAAGCAAGAGCTACATAAGTGGTGGGTGATGATGGAGAAGGGGGAGAAGTTCTTGGGAGCTGCAAGGAAAAGGCAGAAGGCAGCAGAGATTTATGTTGTCTCCCTTGAAAAGGGCACCTTCCCTCCCCTCGAGGCAGGTTGCTGATCCCAATTTCCTTTCCCTGGCATTTGGTAATGAGTAAACTCACCTCCAGAATTCTTGGCATCTGATCCTGACAGAGCCAGCAGGACACTGAGACCTGATACAGAGAGAGGGGGATAGTTCAGCTTGGCTGAAGCCCACAGGGGTTAGGGGCTTCGTCTCTGACTGCCTGGGTATACATGTGCTAACTTCACTGCAGGTCCTTCCAGGCAGGCTACAAACACCAGAGTTATAGGGGACACCACATACTACTGAAGCATACCAGGGCCATCTGGTTGCAGCTGTAAGAGGGTCTGCACCCAATTTCAATGGGGGGGGCGGTCCAGGAGGGGTGTTCCCCACACCAACAAACAGTGCTCTGTCATCAGCTGGGTGTCCTACAATTCAAGATTCCAACACCATCTACCCGGAGACTATCAGATCCCACAGGTTAAGGGCTTTTTCCCACAAGCCTGCCCCCCCACTTAGAAGTCGTGGAAAGCCTAGGTTGTCACCACCTCCTTGAGTTGCATTAATTTGCTAGAGCAACTCAGGACTCCAGAGAAACATTTCTGTTACTAGATTGCTGTTTTATTAGGAAAAGGTATCACTTGGGAACACCTGAGGGAGGTGAGGTATGGGGCAAGGTACAGGGGTAGGGCGCAGAACCTCCATGCCCTCTCTGGGTGGCTACTCTCCCCAGACCTCCAGCTTCACCAGCCCCAGCAGCCCAGCCTCTCCCGGCTTCAGGAGGCTACCTCACACAGCCAGGGTTGATTAGATCTTTGGCCCTTGGCCAGGGATTCACTCTCCAGCTCCTCTCCCCTCTCGTGAAATCAGGGGGTGGGGCTTAAAGGTCCAACCTTCAAATCACATGATTGGCTCCTCCCCCAGGCCCTCCCCTAGTGCCCCTCCCACCCCATGAGTTACCCAAATCACCTCATTACCGTAATAGAAGACACCTTTATCACTCTGCCCTCAGGGGGAAATGGGGAAATGCCAAGGATTATAAGAGCTCTGTGGCCCCTGGGTGGCTCAGTGGGTTAAATGGCTGCCTTTGGCTCAGGTCACGGTTCCCGGGGTCCTAGGATGGGGTCCTGGCATGGGATCCTGGCATGGGGTCCTGGGATGGGGTCCTGCATCGGGCTCCCTGCTCAGTGGGGAGTCTGCTTCTCCTTCTGCCCCTCACCTTGCTCATGCTCTCTCTCTCTCTAATAAATAAAATCTTAAAAAAAAAAAGAGCTCTGTGCCTGAAATGGGGACAAAGCCCAAATATGTACTTCTTATTATAAATCACAATATCACAAGTTGTATGTCCCGATTTCTGAAAAACCTGTGGCTCAGAATCTAGTACCAAAAGGCCAAGTGCCAACCTCCTTTCCATATGCAGTGGTCCCTCTGGACCTGTCCAGACCTCTCTCTACCCTACACCGTCTGATCGCGACATAGTGCAAGCCACATAGGTCCTTTTAAAATTTCTAGTAGCCACATTTTTTAAAGGCAAAGAAAAACCGGTGAAATTAATTTCATTATATTTAACCTAATAGAGCCAAGATGGGATCATTTCAATCAGCATTCAATATATGACAAATTATTCATAAAGTATTTTATGATCCTTTCTCTGTGTAAGATAATCTTTGAAACCAAGTATGCATTTTGCATGTGCAGTTGATCTCCACTCGGGCTGGCCTAGTTTCCAGTGCTCAGGAGCCACACGCGACTGGTGGCTATGGTCCTGCACAGCACAGGTCTGAACACTAATAACTCATGTTTTCTCTGGAGTAACAGGGAATCTGAATATCACAGTCCATAAGAATCCCCAGAGTCCAAGACTATGGCAAAATTGGAATGGATGAGCATGTTTGGGGCATGGTCCCTTTTGAAGATGATGTCAAAATGTCTCCCACATTTTTAGATGAAGCTTTATACTAAAGTTGGGGATGAAATCAGAAATGCAGAAAACTTTCCCACATATTTCCTAATATCACTTCCTCAAAGTACATAGGTGGCAAATAACTAGGCACTTGAAAAATGGATTTTCCTGCATCCCTTTCTGCAAGCAGGTTGTCCTGGGATCCTTTGCTAAAATCTAGAGGTATCTAGGGGTGCCTGGGTGGCTCAGTCAGTTGAACTTTGGGCTCTTGGTTTCTGCTCAGATCATGATTCCCTGGTTGTGAGATGCAGCCCCACTAGGGGCTCCCCACTCAGCATGGAGTAGGCTTCAGATTCTCTCTCCCTCTCCCTCCCCCTCTGACCCTAACCACCCCCTATGACTCACGCATGCTCTCTCTCTCTCAAATAAATAAAATCTTTAAAAAAAATCTGGAGGCATCCACTTTCATAGCTAACACCAGCCCCCAAATGGCTTAAGTATGACAAGGAAAATCGAGGTAATTTGGATTTGCATCACAAATGGAAGGGGAATCACATGGAAGGAGAAGGAGTAAGAAATCTGCGTGTGGCCTGTTTGGATTATCACAGAACAGGACAAGTCCCCTGGACAAGATAAGGTCAACACCTGCTCTTCCTACATCTTCTATAATATTTACTATCCTCTGTATTATGGGTACTGACAAAAACAACACCTTTAAGGATTCATGATATTGCACTGAATCATATGACATGGCCATTTCTGTAAGTCAGAAAAATGCTCAAACATCAGTACTTTCCCTGTGAATGCTTTCTTCACAAAAAGAAATATTTGATTCCTATGGGGCAAGGGTCAGCAAACCATCACCTTTAGGCCAAATCCAGACCAGTGCTTGTTTTTATATGGCCCATGAGCTAAGAATGGTTTTCACAGTTCTTACATGGCTAAAAACAATCAAGAAGATTTCATGGCACGTGAAAATAACATGAAATTCAAATTTCTATGGCTATAAATCAAGTTTTATTGGAACACAGAGATGCCTATCAGTCTGAGGAATGCCTGGGGTTGCTGTTACATGGCAGTGCAGAGTTGGTGAGTTCAGAGAGAAACCAAATGCCCATAGAACTGAGAACAGTAATTATCTGGCCCTTTATAGAAAATGTTTGCCTTTCCCTGACATAAAACATTGGACATCACATGCTTACTAATAAGATTTCCTTAACAAACCTACCTTAAACTGTATTTGAGTCCTCCTATGATGTTTTAGAATTACCTTGAAGAGCCAAAATCCCAGAGCAGAAGGGTGGGTAGATCCAGGTCATTGTAATGTACTAAGCCACAGCACTCCAAACATGGACCCTCTTAGTGGTGGTTGATCAGTGTAGCAGGCCCTTGAAGTGTCCCCTTTAGTCTTCCCCAGAGGGGATTCCTATGCATGCAAATAACTATCTTTCTGTAAGAGGGCATTTTCTGTAGCCTGTGGAGGGCAAACCCAAAATACTTGGGAGTTATGCTGGAATGGTTATCTAGTAGCAAGGGATGAGGACCGAGGGTAAATAGCTCAGCCTCCTTGCCCTGCTAAGGCACATAAGGTATTCTCTCTTGGAGGTGCCCCAACAGGATTGAGTGCCACTTACCCACAGGGTAACTCCTCATCAACACACCCCATCTGCTCTTGTCTCTTCCTGATCTGGCATTTTCCACTCCTGCCCTTGTTCCTCCTGGGATCCCTTCCCAAATAAACTACTTACATCCAAGTCTCTCTCAGTTCTGCTTGGGGAGAGCAACTAAGAGACTCAGTGTGAGAGTTTCTAATAGGACAGGTGCACACAGTCATTTCTGCACAAAGTGCCGAACTGGGGGGAGCAACCCAAACTAGGATGCAGGGATCATGGGCAGAAGAGAGAATTCTTTGTTGTACTCACCTGAGAGCAGGGGCAGGCACCTGCTTCCCATAGCACTGAGATACCAGGAGCACCAATCTGAGAAGCGCTCTGAAGCAGGATGTGGCAAGGATGTCTGGAATGAAGAAGCCCCATGAAAGTCAATTTCGAATGGTCACAGACTTCAGAGGCCAGGTAGCCGATGCTTCTCAAAACCCTTTAATTTCTGCCCATCTTTTGACCCGACAATCCCACTTTCTGGGAAATTATCTCAAGGAAAAGTTCGAAGGAGAGTAGATTATAGGAAACAAGCTTACAACCCAACAAATGTGGAACAAATATCCTGCTGGAATTTAAACTCCCAGTCTGTTGCAACCAGCAAGATTTGGACTGTAAGAGAAATTCCACAGGACAAACTATCCAATTTCTTCACCCTCCTCAAAAAATTTAAGGGGTGAAAAACATAGGGGAGACCTAGATTTAAAAAGACTTAGAAATACATCAACCAACTGCAGTGTCTTACTGGATCCCAAATCAAACATAATTTTTTTAAATGTTTGAAGCCTGGCAATGTGACATTAAAGAATGGTTGTTCATTCTCGTGAATATGATAATTCCACCTCCAGTTCCTTATCTGTCAACTTAGACGGTTGCTCCAGAGGAAGCTGTAAGTATGATAAAGTGGCTATATACAGAGTCCTGATATTTTGGAGTTACACACTAAAATTTTGCAGGCAAATCATATGATATGTAGAAACTATGTCAAAATAATTGGAGTGAGGGAATGGTTTGGGGAGTAAGTGGGAATAAATTTGATCCAAGTTTGGGCAGGTGTCGATCATTGCTAAAACCGGGTGAAGGGTCTATGGGGTCCCCGATGCCATTGTCACTGCATTTGTGTATGTTTGAGAAGTCCCATAATAAAAAAGGGGGAATTATCTTAAAGATATATTGTTCATTAAGTAGATAGGTAGATACCAAGGGGCAGAAGTATGTATGCTAGCATTTGTGTAAGATGGGGAGATAATAAGGAAGACTTCAGCACACTATACACAGTTAGAAATATGCATACATATATTTATAATATATTTATACAACAGGGAAACTGCAAAATGTGAGCTATTCTCTATACAGTTACATGTGTGTCCTTACACCTACACAAGGTCATACATATCCAACATATGCACACATACAAATGTGTTTGCACAAACATATAAATGCATATTATGATTTTGCATTTGCATAAAATATTCCTGGAAACTGCCCAAGAAACTCCTAATACCTGTTGCCTTTGAAAACTGAGCCACTGGGAAGCAGGAGCAAGGAGACTTTTCACATTTCACTTCTTGATGCCATTTGAATTTTGAAGTAAGTGAAGGTATTTCGTATTCAAAACCTAAGTCCCTTCTTGGAGAAACAATGGAAGTGCTGCAAATCACTAAAAATGAGACTTTCAAAGACTTTAAGTTGTTAGTGTTTGCTCTGTGAATCTCATTTTGAAATGTAAAAAGCACCATTCTCAGGTAATGCCATGAGCAATTAAGATTTAGGACAAAACCTCCAGTACACATTAGCAAAGACTATATGCCCTGCAAATCTGTTAAACCATCAAATGTGGTGCCAGTGATGACAAAGGCACCAATGGGGAAGATATAGCTAAAGAATTTGAAGAAAATAGTTTCATAAAATGTAAGTGGGAGCATTTAAAGATAAGATGCTTTCTTACATAAAATGTAAGAAAGGGAGCATTTAAAGATGTGTAACACAAATAATTAGATATTATAAATAAAAATCATGCTGTAGGAGGCTACTAACATAACATGGAAGGTGATTGTAATCCAGCATTAGGATAAAGGCAGGTAATAGAACAAAATATGTGATCTCACATTTAAAGGAGATTCTATAAATGTTAATAGAAGAGTGGCATTGTGAAGATGTCCATCGACAGATGAATGGATAAAGAAGATGTGGTATATATACACAATGGAATATTATGCAGCCATCAAAAGGAATGAGATCTTGCCATTTGCAATGATGTGGTTGGAACTGGAGGGTGTTATGCTGAGTGAAATAAGTCAATCAGAGAAAGACATGTATCATATGACCTCACTGATATGAGGAATTCTTAATCTCAGGAAACAAACTGAGGGTTGCTGGAGTGGTGGGGGGGTGGGAGGGATGGGGTGGCTGGGTGATAGACATTGGGGAGGGTATGTGCTATGGTGAGCGTTGTGAATTGTACAAGACTGTTGAATCACAGATCTGTACCTCTGAAACAAATAACGCAATATATGTTAAGAAAAAAAAAAGAAGAAGAAGATAGCAGGAGGGGAAGAATGGAGGGGAGTAAGTCGGAGGGGGAGATGAACCATTAGAGACGATGGACTCTGAAAAACAAACTGAGGGTTCTAGAGGGGAGGAGGGTGGGGGGATGGGTTAGCCTGGTGACGGGTATTAAAGAGGGCACATTCTGCATGGAGCACTGGGTGTTATGCACAAACAATGAATCGTGGAACACTACATCAAAAACTAATGATGTAATGTATGGTGATTAACATAACAAAAAATTAAAAATAAAAAAAACTTAGTACTTTAGAAAAAAAAGAAGAGTGGCATTGTGAATGATTTAAATTTCTTTTTATTTAACCAGCTCTACATTTTATACATTACTATAGCAATAAGAAAATAATAACAATGATGAAGTATTTTCACAGAAGAGGAAATAAAATGGCTGAAAAATGGATTCTCTTGGCAGGTCCTTCCCTTCTCCTGCTTTGATATGTAGATTCTGCTTTGATTTCTGAGTTTGGAATCTTTAGGGGTCTGCTTGTGGGGCAATTCTCTCAACACTTCACCCACAGTTAGCTGTTGGCAATAGGCAGTGAGATGAGAACATAACTCAGTACCCAGGAAAACCTGAGTTTGGATTGCAAATCGGCAGCTACTATTTCAATCACTCTGAGGTGGTGACTTTGTCTCTGGGCCTGTTTTCTCATCTGCAAGATGACACCAAGAAAGAGCATATACTTCCCAATAATGTTGTGTTGATGCAGTGAAGATGACCTTCCATAGCATGTGGGCACCTGCCTGGCATGTGACAAGTGCTGAATAAAGTTAACTGTTATGGGAACAGGATATGAAGATGATGGTGGTGGTGGACATGATGGTGATGGTGAAGATGGAAGTGATGGCAATGATGGTGATGACAGTAATGGTGAAAATAGTATAAATGGTAGTAGTGACAGTGCAGGGAGTGGTTTTGGTGATGACAGTGATAGTGGTGAAGATGGTGGAAGTGATGATAACATCATGATGTTGATGACGGTAGTGCTTATGGTGATGGTGGTGGTGGAGGTGGTGGCGATGGCGGTTCTACTGATGGTAGAGATGGTGGTGATGGTGGTGGTGATGGTGAATGGTGGTTCTACTGATGGTGGAGATGGTGGTTATGGTGGTGGTGATGGTGGTTCTACTGATGATGGAGATGGTGGTTATGGTGGTGGTGATGGTGGAGATAGTAGTTACAGTGATGACAGTGATGGTGATGACAGTGGTGGCTATGGAGATCTCCCATTCCTCTTTCCTGACTCCAGTTATAACCATGACTTTGTGTGTTGAGGACTGACTGATCCATTATCAAGTGGTGATGAGAATTAACAGGGTCCTGTGAAGCTCCCCCCAAAACAAAGTAGTGGCCTGAGAAATCCCATCCCAGAAAAATCTCTTACTCCCAATGGCCTGAACAGGCTAGTCACACATTATGTATTGGCATCTAGCACGTAAATCAAATTTTGCTACAGATACTTCTCTTAGCCTTCTATTCTCACTTCCTAAAAACATTCACGGACCTTCTGTGGTGGGCCAAGCCCATTACTAAGTGCTTTGACACTATTGTTTCATTGAAAGCTCACAATCACCTTATTAATGTAGATTGAATAATATCTTCCCACTTTTCAAATGATGAAATTGAGACTCAAAGAAATTCTATCACTTGCTCCAGGTGATGCTGCTAGCAAAAGGCAAAGCTAAGATTTGGAAAAGTCAGGCTGGATCCAAAGCCTGCTTATAACCCCTGGACCAAGATCCTAAGCCCCAATGCCTCTTAGGTGCAAAACTGTAATAAGAATAAGCAAGGCCATTTTGGGGAAGCAAGGAGGACTGTGGAGAACTGAAAACGTTGGGCTCTATCTAGAGATACTCAATTCCACTTTTTCCCCAAATGCAGAACCAGTGGGCCACGAGCTTGCAATCTCTGCAATGGACAATACTGCCTAATTGCAAATCAAAATCTGTACGTGGGCATCTTTGAGGACTTATACTTGGTCACTTCCTGGATGCACTCCCTTCTCTCAGCATACATTTCCCTGTTTTGCTTCTTGATTCTCTTCTCTTCCAAAAACCTATTATAGAATATACTGCAAAGTAATTGTGCCCAGGGGCACCTGGCTTGTTCAGTAGGTAGAATATGTGACTCTTGATCTCAGGGTAGTGAGTTAAAGCCCCATGCTGGGTATAGAGATTACTTTAAAGGAATTTTTAAAAAAAGAAATTGTGTCTAGATGAGGATGATTCAGAGGCCTCTTTGGAAACTGGTTTAACTAAAGTGAGTATTTTACATGAAAGAGGTGATAATGTTTTTCAGAACCGCTGAGACCTTTAGCAATGCTGATTTGGTCTTTTAGCTTTTTAAAATTACTTTATTGAGGTATGATTGGCATGTGAAAAGCTGTACATGTTCAATGTGTACAACTCGATGATTTTGGACATAAGTACACACCCATGAAACCATCACCACCATCAAGATCATAAAGATATCCATCATCTCCCAAAGTTTCCTCCGCTCCTCTGTGGTTAGTTGTGCGTGTGTGTGCAGTAAGAACATTTAACATAAGATCTGCGCTTTCAGCAAATTTTAAGTATACAATTACAGTATTATTAGCTATGGGTGCCATGTTGTATAGTACGTCTCTGGAACTTATTTATCTTGTGTAACCAAAGCTTTGTACCCTTTGATCATTTCCCATTTCCCCTAACCCTTGGTAACTACCATTCTACCCTCTGCTTCTATAAATTTGAGTACTGTAG